TTTTAGATTCTTTTTGCTAAAGAATCTAAAAGAATAAAAAAAAAATTAGATTCTTCTAAAGAATATAAAATATTTTTTGCACAAAACAAAGTTTTAATAAACTCAGTTTATTAAAAGTTTTAATACACTTTGTTTTGTGGAATACCATAATCTAAGACTGCCACACTTATCAATGTATCTGGTCTTATGAAAAAGCAGAACTTTCAGTCAGACATGTTGTCTAGGATCTTTTACTACAAATTTATTGCCAGAAAAAACACATTAAGGCTTCTGACTGGAAGTGTGTAAATTGGTCATATAGAAATTGAGCTTACCAAGCTGCAAACACTCCAGGTTAATGTGAAATACAACAAAGGATAGCTAGAAAATAGTACCTCATGCCCTGTTAGGTTAAGATTTCTAATGCTGTGGGCCTTTTTATTCTACTGAGTACTGTGGGAACCTTATTAGAGTGCATGACATCATGGAGGAGTTTGTTTCTGATATACTTTTTACACAGATAGTTCAGATTTAGCTCTTGCTGGGCAGCATAGATGCTGTTTCAATATCAAAATAAGGACAAACCCTTAAGCTCAGCAGGTGGTTCAGCATGACGTTTTTAGCCTTGGCAAACATGGTGCCCTTTGATACAAGAACATGTCTTGAGACTGTTTCTCTCATTTTCTCCAGCATACCAGGACCCGAGTATCCTGCTGCAGCTGCAACACAGAGATCAATCACAATTGGTAAGAAAGTTTTTAAATATGTTTTACTGTAAAATAAAGTTTTTGTAATGATAGAAATTCTCACTCTTGTAGCATTCTTGCATGGTCTCCTCAATTGTCTCTGTCAGGCTGTTGTACATTATTTTCTTTTGATCTTTAATCTTTTTGTTCAGCTTTTTCTTAATTTTTTCCTCCTGTGAGACAAGTAAGAAAAGGAATTTTACCATGAAAAAAACTTTTTTTTTTAATCTCATAAACTGTTCCAATGCTAAATGAAAGATGTATGTGCTATACATCTTTTCTCTATCATTTACCTCGGTCTGAAGAAAAATCAGCTGCAGTGTCACATCTTTGTACTTTTCCTTCAGTCTTTCAGTCTCAAGTGAAAACTTGTCAATGACACCATTGAATGGGCCACATTTTCGTTCATTTCTGAAACATTTTGATATGGTGAAGTCATTCACAAATGGTACCTTATCATAATTTTCTTTTAATAAACCCTTGTATTGTGGATGTACAAATTTTACACTTTCATCAGAGTTGAACAATACTTTTCATGCGTATTAAGTTCTTACGGGAAGGTTTTCCTGAATTCCTCATCAATGCTGTCAGTCAGGAACGAAGAGAGTTTCATGTTGAGGTTTATTTGTTTTCCCTTTTTGGGTTTGTAGACTCCACCACTTTTGAAAACACACTTTAATGTTCTGTGATAACCGCTACCACTCTTTCCCTTAAAAACAAGGCATCATTTCAAGTGCAACAGAAAATTTAAATTAACTCTGTGGTTACTGCCAAGCACCATACCCGAGGATATAGGAAGTTATGCAGCTTTTTTTCACATGAGAATTTAGCTCGTTCAACCCCTTCACACAGGTGTTTCTCAAAAACCAGGAAAGCTCTTCCCATTTCTCTTTGGACTGGACCAAGTTGAAGGGCCATGTTTCTCTCAAGCTTTTCACATACTTCTGTGTGTATTCCAGGCTGAAAAAAGACAACTCCTTGTTAGCACTTGCTGTAAAAACTGGTAGCTGTTTATGACAGAGTAATTAATCTTGCCTCTGAAACTTGTTTTAATAATAATAATAATAATAATAATAATAATAAGAAGAAGAAGAAGAAGAAGAAGAAGAAGAAGAAGAAGGAGAAGAAGAAGAAGAAGAAGAAATAAACAGGTTATTCAAAAACGTCTTTCAAGATCTTAAATGATGCTGCACAATAATCCATCCATCTTCCAACAAAGACACAGATTGGACAAACAATCATGCATATATACACACACACCCTAACACCTAAGGAAAATTTTGAGAGATCAATCAACCTGATGGTCATATTTTTTGACTGTGGGAGGAAGCTGGAATAGTTTGAAAGAGCTGCACAATAATTAAATTAATAAGTAAAAAGAAATATCAAATGACATGCAGAAAATGGCAATTAAGAGCATTACATATTAAAAAGTGAACTGGCTTTGAAAATAGATAGACATTTAGTGTTACAGCTGATACTGGAGGTGAGATGGCCTACTCAACTTTAAACTTCCAATCTAATGGTAAAAAGGAGAGAGACAAAAAACTTGAGTCTCAGTCTGTGAAGAAGTGATGATGTGCAGAAACATCAGAGTGATGTGGAGGTGAAAGGTTATGGAGAGACCTTGAAGTTTGAGGAAACTCACCTCATTTCTTAACCTGACTCCATGAATCAAAGAGAGAATCCCATGAGCTCCAGAAACATAGTTCAGTGTCTCTGAGTGACTGTCATTGAGATTTTGCAAAAACTCTTGAAGCTCGGGGATTTCTGTGAAAGCAAAACCATTATTAACTCTTATTTCAACAGTGTCACAGTCAGAGTGCTGAGAGTTACCAACAAAGTGCTCAGAGAAATGAGAAATTTAACATACCAGTGTTCTCTGCACTGAGAACCTTTGGTTTCAGAAACTCCTTGGAGCTCACTGTGTACACTTTGAAAGAGTCATCACTGAAGTGTTTCTAGATAAAACAGATTTTGTTAATTTTATTTATTTTCTAGGATTAAGATCCCAGCAAGATCTAGACAAACTCATCCATACATTTATCTTTAGTTCCATTGATTACTCCAAGTGGTCAGGTCTGCCTAAAAAGAATCTGATCCAGAACGTTGCTGCTCATGTTCTGACTAAAACCAGGAGGATAGACACATCACCCCAGTTCTAAAGTCTTCACACTGGCCCTGTGTAGTTCAGAGAATAGACTTCAAGATACTGTTAGCTTATAAATCATTCAATGCCTTAGCACCAAAATACAAAACAAGTCTTGGGTCTCAGTCTGTGGAAAATTGAAGACTGAACACAATGTCATGTGTTCAGTCTGCAAGCCAGAACCAGAACTACAGCTGGTAAAACTGTAGCTTTAAATCAAGATTAAAAGCCTGCTTGTTTGCAATATATATTGCTTGTTTCACAATTGGTGACTGTATAGTGTTTTTATGATATAAACCTTTTGAACTACCTTGTCTTTGAAATGTGCAATACAAATAAACTTGACTTATTTTTTGTAGCTAAGAACAGTATTTATTTTAGTTGTCTTGACATGCGAAGCTCACCTTAATCTTGTGTAGCTTATTGAATTCTTTGCGCACCGCGTCCTTTACTTTAATGTTTCTTCTGAGGATTTCGGCCTGAAGATCAGCTGAGCTGATGGAAAAAGACATATTGATCCTTAGAGTTGCTTCAGCTGAAGAATTTTGATTCTACACATAATCCTGATCCATCACAAATCCTATTTATTGACAAGTTCAACTTTTATAGAGTTTAGTCAAGAGGATGAAGATTTGTGAACGAGACTCCTGTTGAGTTTCCCAATTACTAATTTTTAATAGCATGTCTTAAATATTCAATTTAATTGCTCACTTTTATAACCTCATCTCACTTACTGATCAGTCGAGTCAATAACATCAGATTTTGTGCAGATAAAGTGAATGTCTCTGCACTCCCCACCGTTTCCTAGGAGACTACTGACACTCTTCAAGATTTCCCAGGATTCTTTCTCTGATGCTGCTCTGTTGATTTCAGTGACAATCCACACAGTAGAGCAGTTTCCAACAATCTGGAACAGATATAAAGATATAATGATCGATAATATGTGTTGATATGTTTCTGTTTTCTTTATGTAGCAATACGTTACCCCTTTCCACATTGTATCTCTGCTCTTGTTACGGTCTCCATTTCCAGGAAGATCCACAAGAGTGATGTGTTGGGGAAAATCATGTGGCACTTTGACAGTCACACACTTCACAAGAGGCCAATACCACCTCTTTATGCCTCTTTCTCCTCCATGATTTGATTCAGTTCTTGTGTATTTAATCATTTTAGCAGATAGCTCTTTAGCCTGCAAAAAATGGAAAGAAGGTAAACATGGGAAATTGCTTGGTTTAATTTGCAAGAACAAGTTTACAAATTTCATTGAGAAATGTTCCTCTCCATAAAGTATGGAGGCTAAGGACTTGCAAAACCAGAAATAATATAGAAAATAGTTTTTGGGCTCAATTAACATTTTTAATTGAGTTAATCGCAAGGTCTGTAATTAATTAATTAATTGCAAATAATCACATTTTAATTAAAAATTATATATAAAATAAGGAACATTTTAATTCAACACCCCTTTTTGCTGCTAAATTATTGAATAGACAGATACGCTTGACAAGAAAGATATTTATTGTTTTCACTTTGTTGTTTAGGTTATTCAACCAGAAACATATTGGTGCAAAGTGCTGTTATACTTCAACTTTCAAATGTGTCACAAATTACTGATCATTCCTGTAACTTCTTTGAAAATATACTTATTTAAAAATATGAACTGCAGACAGTGACATTATTTATCGACTTAGTCCACAAATTAGTACTTGAATAAACACAGAAATATAGTACATGAGCTGCTGTGCATAAACAATTTCTGTTTAAATGTGGGTGTGTGTCTTGCAAAGCAGGAGATGGAAACTTCTGCGCAAATATTTAGCTTTGGGTGTGATTTGTAAAGGAAAATTGAAGAGTCATGTGTTCAACCAGCTGCTTACATACACACCTATCGGGTGTTTACATACGCATATATGCTTTTAGAATGGATCCTACACAATCCTTTATAAATAAGATCCATTGTGTTTTTATTAAAGAGGATGGGCAGCAGTAGATGTTCAGGTTGCACATTGTTGTCAGCAAACCTTCTCTCCATGTTTCATAAATTCCTAACAACATTTGTGGCCATTTTCAAGTGGTTTAACTTCATATATTAATAAAATATAACTAAACTGCCATTGTCTTTCCTTATTATTTGTGGCATTTAAATGATTAAATGAAACCACTTATATATTTCTAGTTATTCCTGATTTTGTCTGTCCTGGTTTTCCATAGTAACACTTTCAACAATCCATACACAATTTCACTCTTACTGTTTCACATGAGAGTATCTTTCCTGTCGATTGAAGAAATTCTGGTATTTCTTTAAAATATTTCGGATCCATTAGTTGCTCAGAAGATTTCTCTTTCCATTCCTCTCCATAGAGTGCCGACAGCTTTTCAACAACATCCTGATAATCATCATCCTCATCATCTTTTTTCTGATCTGCGGTATTCTCTTGAAGCTGACTCACTGACCACAACTCATCTTTCCATTCCTAAACGTAAAATAAAATCATGATTAGCTCTAATACATTGTGATTCTTCAGTTCTTCATGTGAAGTAGGAAGGAATATTTCTAAAGTTCTTTTACCTCTTTTGTGATAAATTCAATATGTGCCTCATACATTGTGTTACACATGTTCGCCTCCACTTTTATCATGACTGAAGTACATGCATCGACATCTCCCGACGGCAAAAGTTTCCTCTCGTCAATGACAGCGTTTATCAAACTGGTCTTTCCAGCTCCAGTTTTACCAAAAACACCAACCAGTTCTCTTCTGTCTGTCTCCAGATTCCTGATTTTATCCCTGTGAAAAGATAAAGGTGTGTTGTTTCATTAACTTTTAAAACATATTTATTGATGTGCAGGTTTTAGCATTTGTATTTGTATTTAGAACTGTATTGTAACAGGAATCTGAACCTGAGAATATTAACTTTTGAAGTCTTTTGTAAATACAAGGAGGTTGGAAAAGATTTTGAAAGATTTTGTAGAAAGATATCTGTTAGGATGAGGAGGCATGTTACTTGTTCCATCATTACACAGCAAATACAGTCATCAACAACTGGGGGAAATATGAAACAACAGCGACATAAAGACTGAAACTGCCAATAGCTTGGTGATAACAAAAGCGTAGCTTCAGAAATTTCAGGATAGTATTTGTTGTGTTGTTAATGTAGCAATTGTCATGATCCGTGTTTTTCTGTATAGTTATTTTGAGATTGTCTGTGTTTAGTCCTGTTTCCCTGAGACTCTGTGTTGTCCTGTCAGCCCTTGATTGTTCCTAGGTGTGTGTTGTTCCCTTGATTACCTCCCTGTGTATTTAAGTCCACCTGTTGTCTAATGTCCTTGTCTAATGTCTTAGTACGTCTCAGCTCTCCAGTAGAACTGCATAGTCCTGGCTAGCTTCGCTCTCTTCTCAGTCTTGTTGTCAGTGCTACCGGCCTTTAGCTGTGTGCTAACTTCTCCGCTGTGCCGCCTGTTTTGGACTATTGAGCTTCATCATTAAATTCATCATCATCTTCACCATAACCTGGGTCTCTGTGTCTCTCCTCACCACCTCAACCACACCCATATGACAACAATAGTAAATTGTATTTTCCACATGCCTGGATCAGTGGGATTGAAAAACAAAAGCATCTTCAGACTTGACTAAAATCTCCACAAAACTTGAAGAAAAGTTTGTGGTCAGACCTGTAGTTTGTAAAGTGCAGTTTAGCCTGTGCATTAGAAATATGTTTGCATCCTTCAGGAGTTGGGGTTTGGTTGAATGAAGTGTATGATTCTTGCCATAAATGTTTCACTTCCTCAAACTCAAAGTTTTCTGTATATTCAGACTTCCATATTACTTAGCAATACCATCTGTGTTTGAGTCCAGCCATCAGATGGTGAGGCTGCCCAAATGAGCTCTCTGGCCTCCGGATTTACTTAAGAGATGTTGATCCCCTTATTTACTACATTTACCTAAAGTGATCAGGCAAACAAGTCATCCTTTACTAGAGACACAGGTAGAAGAACCTTCTTTATGAACATGGTTTGGTTTGCAATTGTCCATTTAAAAAAAAAAAGATTTTAGAGGTTAAATCAAAACACAAAGGGCATGCCTTTGTGTTTTGAGAAAGAAGAGGAGTTAAGGGGGAAGCGGTAGGATGCAGATGAGAGAAGAGACTCTTAACAGATAATGATTGCTTTGTATGGGACAGCCAATAGACTGAACCCGCTCTTGTTCTGGTAGCCATAGCCCAAAAGACCAAGGTAATCTGAATAGAAATCATAACAACTCCTCAAGCAGACACCAAATGTACTCACCTTAGGAAAGAATTCAGCGTTGTGTTTTCTTGATAGAGTAGTTTAACCAAAACATCTGTCATTACATTTTTCACATCAGACTTTATCCTTTGTTCTGTTATTAAAACAAATAAGAGAAAAAATACATTTGACCTGGCTTTCACACAGTGATAACACATTTCATAAATCAGACAAAGTTTTGAATATTGACAACAAATGCATCATAAACTGTGAGGTGAGAGTGGTTTAACACTGAGTTCTGCATGCGATCATCTGAACAAGATGCTGTTCCTGCTATCTCTGTCTGAGCTTGCTCACATTCCTGTGGTTTGAAGTTTCTGTTATTTTTTTTGTGCATTAGATGTGTTTCTAAACAACATACACCTCTAATTTATTCACAATCACAGTACTAGTTATGAGTCATCCAACAAAAATAATTAAATTTGCAACTGACATCTGCAAATTAACATCTGCAGTAAAATTAACTCAATTTTAATGCTTTGTAAGTTGGATTGTGACAGCCTTTTATCCTCTTTATTGCCTGTTATGTTTTTGAAGAATTACCTGGCAAGGATGGTGACATACTCCTGCGAAACCGTTTTGCTGTTGGTTCCCTTTTGTTTAACTCCTCCTGATCCAGCTTTCGCTTTCCTTTTTTTGAAAAGAGAAAATGTGTGGATTTCTAAGTCGGATTTGCTTTTGCAACAAGTTACATATGTAAGAAACATGTAAGAAACTGTAATTCTCACCTGCATCACTTGTGGATGGCTGTACCTGAGAATGAACATATTTATTTAACTATCTTCACATAATGTAATGGGAAAAACACTTTTTAAGCTTTTGTAATGTAGCAACTAATTCACCCCTTAGTAGACAGTAAAGAGAGATTTAGTATCTCTAGCAAAATTGTTAAAAGCTGATCACTGAATCATAATTACAATTAAAAGGTAGAAGTCTCAACAACTGTTATGTGCTTCGGGCACATTGTGATGGTTTTTGTCTATGTTTTCTTTGTTTTCTTATAGACTTTAGTTGAATGACCTTTTGTTAATATATTTTGAAAGAGTTTGGATATTTTTTTTTTATTTTTGGTCATTTGATTATGTTAATTTGTGATGCTGTTGGTTCGCCTATAAATAGGCTGGGTTTCGGCTTGTTGGTGATCCACCGTTCCGCTCGCTCCACCACCACCGGGGACGCATCCAGTCGTTGTGGGCCGCAGCTGACGTTTCCAGCCTGCCATGCGGTATTGGTGTTTGCTTTTGTTTGTTTGCTTTTTCATTGTGATTTTAGCCTGGTGGGACCGGTTGTCCTGGCTTCGGTCTTTCTTTTGTATTAGGTCATTTTTTGGTTTAGTCCGGTACTAGTAGGGGCTCCGACGGCCCTTTATAGGATTGGCCCCCTGCTGTACTGTTTTGTTCTGTTTGATCGGCTCACCAGGTCCAACTTTCTGTTACTACTTTTGGGGTTTTGTTTTTGTTTTTTTGGGGACACGGGAAACTGAGGGCATTTAACTTTCTTTTTTTTCACAGAAAATCAGAAGCCATTGGTGGACGTAACAACAACTCATATTCAATGTCCTTTTGTTCTCAGCTAATAATGCAGCATAACGTCCTCAAAGTTTCACAACTGCCAAACCCTTAGGTCAAAGCACTTAAAAAGAAGGAAACTAAATTATGAGACGAGTGACATGATTTAATTTCCTGTGAACAGAGGAATACACTTTTTTCAATTATTATTTTTGTATACACTAATGCTGTAAAATAATTCACTTTTTGGCCAACTGAGTTTATCTTTCACTTACAAGTTATGCAGGTTCTGGAAAGACGGACATCTTTTGCTTCTATTTTTGCTGAGAAAATACAGTTGAAGCAATCTGATTTTCATCTATGTTAAAGTTCTAAACCTGAGGCTGACCAGAAGCAACAACATCAACACAGACACTAACTGTGATGTAAAAGGAGGTGATGAAAATTGATCTTCCTCCAAAGACAGTCAGTCTTCAAAACTTTCAGAACTGCTAGTCTAAGGCTTGGAGACATTTATTTATGAAGAATGGGAGTTTGCTGTGACAGCATGTAGTTTAGGCTCAGCTTAAGTGCAGGAATATTAAGGAACAGTGTAGGGATAGTTTACACTCATTCCAGGGGAGAAGATATAAGCCTCCTTGTCTTTAGTTGGTGTGATGTGCAGAGACCCTGGATGACATATTTGATTAAGAACTTAATGAAAGATTAGTTATTTTAAAAATTATTTAAAACAAAATATAAACCACTTTGTGTAAAACAGCCAGGTATTCAACATAGATAATTGAAATTTAGCTACAGACAAAACTGTCATACTTACCTCAGCCTGAACAGCTGTGTTTTTCTGCTCCTGTTCAATCTAAATAAAATAATGTAGTGATATACAGGTAAAACATTAATGTTATAACTTCAATCCAACTCAGTGTTTTTATTGATTGCTGTAATTAACATTTAGTGTAATCTGTTGATCTTACTGGTACAGTTATAGGCAATGTCTCCTCATTTCTGTGTTGTCCTTCCTGGAGACGAGGACATTGATGTCATTTGCAAATGTCCAAGAATCCATAAGATTATAGTCAGTGTTGTGACTGCTAATTGTGCTTATAAGTATTTAGTTTTACTTATAAGCACAATCTAAAGGTTTGGGTGAAATCCAATATATTTGCATAAAATGTGAATGGTGTTACTAAAACAAGCCTGCATGTCATGTAGTGCAGCAAATTACCTTTAACAGTCTCAGTTTATTTCTGAAATGTGCTCTTGGTCCCACTTTGGAAAACAATTTTTCAATGTCTTGATCCTCGAGGCAGTACAGATTTTCCTTGTCAATGCCTTGTTCTTTAATGAAAAAAGTGATTTGTTAACAAGTGATGAAAATTAAATTTTTAAGTTGAATAAGATGTTTCATAAAGAGCAAGGTTACAAATGTCTTAGACTCAAAATAATAAAGGCCGTAGTTGGTCTTTACAACATCAGTATTTAAAGAAATCAGTGACTTGAAATTGAATGTTTCTGTTTGCCCAAAAGGGCGTGTCAATAATTTTGTCAGGGTCAAACGTTACATTTGAATTTGCGCTGAATTTTATTGATTTTTTAACAGCAAAATCCATTGATATTGTTGTAACATCTTTGATAACACAGCGACATTCAACGCTTAACACTAAGATTGTTTGTAATGTCATAATTTGCAGCCAGTAAACAATACTTCTGGTATGGTCCATGATGTTCACACTTAAATGCTAATGAT